CAAGGAGAAAGAGAGGGAGAAAAACATCAATGTGTGGCTGCCTCTCATGCGCCCCCTACTGGGGACTCTGGCCCATAACCCAGGCAACTCAATCCACTGAGCCACACCAGCCAGGGCTGGACTAAGCTATTTTAAATCTTTGCATAAGCACCTCACTTTTACAGTTGGTGTAAAGGTGAAATTCAGTACAGTTCTACCAAAACTGCAACAAATTTAAATCGGCAGAGCCCAGTCAGTGGCCCTTCCTTATCACCTCATTAAGGACCTGAGCTCACAGACCTAGCCGACGATGTGACTTAACCTGCTCCTTGGCAAACAATTTTTAGCACGTTATTCCAGTGTTTTCAATGTTTCAATGTGACTGTTACAATATCTGCACACCACTTGTACTATTGTTTACTTAAAACTTACTCATTGTTTTTACTTAATGTTTGAAAGGAAAAGAATGTCGCTACTCATAACCAAAGAAGCACTAATTCATTGGATGAGTGTTTAGGAAGCGCTTGACATGCACCAGGCAGCGGAATACAGCCGTGAAAAATGCGCCAGAAAGAATACCCACCCTCCACCTTCAGGAGCCCATGTTCTGGTAGCGGCAACAGATGCTAAACAAGCTAAATACGTAAAATATATAGTGTGTAGAGAGAGGTCCGTGTTGAGGGGAAAGGGGGAGGGATACCAGGTATCACTGGGGAGGGCCCCATTGAGAATGTGACTTTTGAGTAAAGACGTGAAAGGAACCAGCCAGGTGGAAATCCAAGTGAGTCTAGGTAGTGGGAACACAGAGTGCAAAGCCCTCGAAAACAAGTGAGCCTGGGGTGTTCAAGGAGCATCTTAGAGGTCATGGGCAGAAGCAAGACTAGGTAGGAGGCTACTGCAAAAGTCCAGGCGAGGGACCATGGTGGCCTGGACCATAGTGATGAGGAATGGTCAAAGGCTGGAAACATTCTGAAGGCAGAGCCAACATTTGCTGATGGATCAACCCATTATAGAGTATAAAGGGACAAAGAAAATCCTAAAACTTTTGGCTTAGCAAGCAACTGGAAAGATGGAGTCCAGTGCATTTGTTTCTTATTTTCTTCCCCTAAACCCCCAACAACTCCCACCCTAAGGTCCTCCCCCATGCACCCCCATTTGGATTTCTGTCACTTGCATCCTAGCTCCCTTACTCAATGGAAGAAATTTAGAAAGCACTAGTATTCAAAAGCACGGATTTAAAGCTGTGATTTGGCTTATCTAAAATCTGCGTGTGCTGCACAGTTCTGGGATTCTAGGACCTTGAAAGAATGACAGTAGAAAATCCACTCGTTTTTTCGGGGATCCGGTAGTCACCTTTCAGAAGACTGAACTTCAATGTATTGTAACTCTTGCGAACTGCCCTTCCTGGTTTCAGAAGTTGTAATCCCCCTGTGGCTAAGGCCAAGTTAAGGACCTTGGGACCATAAGCCACTCAGTAGACAAAGCTTATCTTCCTTGTAGGGGCACCACCTCTGCCCCCTTTCTCTTTACCCTGCTTGGTCCCAGGCTGATGACTGGTTAGCCAATGAAGGGTAAGAGTCCTTAAAAGAGGGACGACCTAAGACAGACGTGGTTGAGAAGGGGCCCTCAGGGAAGGACTTGGGAAGCTATAGAAAAAGGGGGTGATGGACCCTTGCCCCTCCGCTCTGTCTTAGCAAGAGTCCTCATTCTGTCTGCAGGAAATCTCCTAATCTCTTGGTTGCTTTACTTCCCCGGCCTGACTTAAACCCGAAACAATGCCTTAAGCCTGAAACAACGCTGGAGGTAGGTGTGGCCCTGTGCTTCCCTAGGGCGATCAGGCCAAAAGAAAGAATACATAAAATCCTATGAAACCTACTTTGTTAATACCCTCAATTGAAAATGATAAGGGGCCAAGCAGGAAGTGAGTTTGTTCCGAAAAGTTTTATGGCCCTTTAACTATCTGACCACGACTCAGAATAAGCCCTCAGAGTTCTTCGAATGTTATCTATTGTTTAATCATTTCTGCCTGACAGTGACTGATGAGCTTTACGTATACATCCTGTATTCCTGTGCAAATTGAACCCAATAAAAGCCTATGAAGGGAAGTGTCAATGTGCTCTCCCCTTGAGAGAGTGGCCGCACCAACCCTTTTCCTCCACGGGACTTGGTGGTCTCTGGGAATTTATCTCGTCTCATCCGTAATGCTGCGGACCCCAGGAGCCGGGATCGGCGTCAATAACTATACGGAATATACTCTGAATAGTTTAAACACAATGAAATTCTGTTTAGTAGACTGGTTGGCAAATTGCTAAGGAACACAGGCTTTCTTAGAGAAAAGAAGTCTTTCTGGCTTGCCCTGGCAGGTGTGGTTCAGGTGGTTGGAGTCTCATCCAGTACACCAAAAGGCTGTGGGTTCAATTCCTGGTCAAGGCACATGCCTAGGTTTTGGTTTAATCCCGGTTCAGGGTGCAAATGGGAGGCAACCAATCAATGTTTCTCTGTTTTTCTCTCTCCCTTCCTCTCTCTCTCCAAGCAATGAAAAAATGTCCTTGGGTGAAGAGAAGAACGAAGAAAGAAGAAAGAAGAAGAAGAAGCATCTCTGGCTCTTATAATTGAGGGTATAGATAGATGTATACTGAATAAACTATGTGGCACTTTTGTCAATAAATTAATGCAATTATTTATGTCATAAGCTCGAACTCACTAATTTCACTTCTGGTGTGTTTACTTATTAGTTCACAAAGAGGACAGATTAAACAGTAAAAATATACAAGCAGTGACTAAGTGCTTCATGGCAAGCGAAGACATTAAATAAGAAAAACAAGGCACTCTGATGTTATCTTCAACATGGGCCTGCTACTGCATACTAAAATAACCGTGGTATTTGAGCTTAGAGCCAATACTCTGGACTGGGTACAAAAATAATGTCTTTCTTTGGCATGGAATCATTAAGCATCCATCTTCAGTGCTTCAATGTAAGACAGCAGAACAGCTTTCTATCTTGTCAGCAAATAGCCAGCATTGCCTTCAATTAGACAAATTCATTTCTATTTCTATCTCAAACTCTATCCAGCACCATATATTTATTTCATCAGAGAAATGATCAATGTTGACTGTGAATAGTTTACTTTTGCAGTGGATACTGAGGCAACATGAACACTGAAAATATGATAAAGGAAAAAAACTCTCGTGTAACTACCTTTAAATAGATGCCTCCTAACTCTGAAACCTGTAGGCTGGTTTCTCGTCTGGGCTGCCCACGGGCCTGTCTAGCAGCTCTGGACTCCAAGGATGCAACCTGAACTCATCTTTTGCCTCCCACTGCCCCTCTTCCTGTACTCTGTACACCTGTTCATGACATCTCCATCCACCTACTCAACTCGGTTAAGAACTTGAATCACCCTTAACCCCTCGTTACCCTTCACTTCCTATATGCAGTTAGTTGCCGGGTACTGCCCCCAGAACAGCTTCTGAGCTGGCTTCCCTGAATCTAATCTCTCCCTTTTCCACCGCGCTGCCAGAATTCTCTTCTTAAAACTCAGACTAATGTTACTGCATGTTACAAAATCTTACACGTTCTTCCCCTTTTCCTATAGAATAGCCTAAACTCCTTAGAACAGCACCCACAGCTTTCCACAGTTTGGCTGGGTCCTCCACTGCCCCTTGTTTTGAGGATACCCAGGATTTAATTAAGGAGGTGACTGAGCGATGATGACACAAAGTGGTCAGCACCACTGGACGTTTTATTGCTCACAGTTCTCCAAAGATGGAGAACATGGCCCAGGGCCTTTTTTGTGGTTTCTCTGGGAGGGAATGAGCAAGGCCGAGCAGACAAGTTTAAGAGAACACAGGGCTGGATGCTCTGAATAATGTCGGTGGACTTTGTGCTACAAAGATGGTCTCTAATTGTCCAATATTTGACCTTGGGGTGATTTTAGAACAGGTGGCTTGGAGTATGAGAGTTAATCAAGGAAGTGGTTGGGAATATGGGCTTTGGATTGGTGGGTTTGTATATGAAAGGTAGGTTTGCGGGCAAGTTGTTTGTAAGTCTAGGAACTAGCTCATCCTGGGAGGGGCAATTCATCATAGGACTCCAAGATGTCAAAGTACACAACACAGAAAATTAACAAAAAACACCAATACGTAGCTCCCTTCCCATGAACCTTTTGCTCACAGTTTTAGTAGCCCCAGAAAATACCCTGTTATATGAAAAAAAGTTCTGTAGTGCATCTCTCAATATTCTGCCACCATCCATAACCCTGATTGAGTAGCACCCCCAAGTCCTTCCCCACCCCCAAGTCCTTCCCCACCCCCAAGTCCTTCCCCACCTCCGACCAGACCAGTGACAGCACCTGACACAGGCACCCAATCTATAGGGTGGCTGCCAACCCATGACCCTTGTGGTCTGCCTCAAAAAGATGAACTGAGCCAATCAGATTTCCTCTTTTAAGTATTTAAGTCAAAAGCCACAAAAGGAGATTGCCAGTTTCTTTCACGTCAAAAGATAACAGAGATGCACAGTGACAAAACTGGTAAATAGGTCTGCTTGGATCAGGCCTGGGACGGAGGGCTCAACGACGCCTTTATTTAAGCCCCCAAACCTGTAAAGTGTTTTACATTTCATACAAAAGTTTAAAGGACCACATAAACACAATCTAGTGCAAACGCATCCTGCAGCTTTAATAGGGATTTCCAGCTTCTTTCTAAACTGGGCTACACTCTGAGAGAAGAAAACTTCTAGAGGACCGACCCACTTACACCTCCCCAGCTCCCCACCTCGGGTCATACTAAAAGCAGTCCTTATCGATTGCTTCTGCCTAGGCTGACCCGCCTGGATAGATTATTCCTGTCTGGCCCGCCCCCGGCGCGGGAAAAGAGTTTCAATTCGGCTTCGCGGTTGCAACAACCCATTCAACTCCGGCAATTCCGACCTACCTCTGCTTCATCCTGCTTTTGCATCCCTGACTCCCTGAGGTCTCCCGAATCACGCGACTGTAACCAGAGAAGATCTAGCCGCCTCAATGTCCGAGGCTTATTTTAGGGTGGAGTCGGGGGCGCTGCGATCTGAGGAGAACTTTCTTTCTTTGGACGACATCCTGATGTCCCACGAGAAGCTCCCGGTGCGCACAGAGATTCCCATTCCACGCCTCGGCGCTTTCTTCCCGGAGCGGAGCGGAGGGGCCGACACAGACAACGCGATCCCACAGGTTAGCCCTTTGGCTCGACCCTACGTGAAAAGACTATAGTTCCCAGTGGGCACGGCGGCCTTGGGGCGCCGCCTCCCCAGGCGCGCTGTCTCCTGGGATTTGTAGTTTCTGAGGGAGGCGGGGACGGGGAGTGTGGTACCCGCTAACGAGACTGTCCCTCAAGTCCCGGCGCACTGCAGTGGTCTCCCCACCTAGCCTGGACCACCTGTACGGAAACTAAATTTATCTTAGGTCAATACTGACTTTGTTTTTGCAACTGTACACATTCAGCAGTGTTCTCCCCACCACCATGCCTTAGAATTGGCTCCTACTGAATACTTCAAGATCAGGGTTCTGATCATATTTGCCTTAAAACAATCGCGTTGGGTTCGGTAAGAGCATGGGATCAGTCTGGGACCCACAAATTGTTAGATTCGTCCCTGTGTAATGAGGACGGTATCAGCAACCACTGACGGAGGGCTTTGGGTGCAAACGTGGATGGAGCGGGGAGGGTGTACTTTTCCTCTAATTACCCCTCTAATTCTTCAATAACCCTGCAACTAGGTGTTGTTACATACAAGGAAACCAAAGCCCAGGAAAGCTTGGGCAGAGTTGCGGGAGGTGGGGAGCTGGGGTTCGGACTGGGGGCTATAGGATTTCACATACAAATACGCTCCAGGAACATGGCTTGTGGTGGTTAGTTTTGATTTCCCGTTTAACTTCAGTTTTGTTCAGAAGGTGTTTTTGTTTGGTTCGAGTTCATTTTTATCAACAGGACACATACGCAAAGTTTAAAAGACAGGTAGTACTAACGGATATAAAATAACTGGCTCTGCCTTGTTCTTCCCTAGGTCCTTCCCTGTCTGGCTTCACTTGGTCTACTTTTTCTAGTACTTTCTTCAAGATTCGCCTCCATATTTTTTTAAAAAATTTATCTTTAGAGGGAAAGGGAAGGAAAGAAGGAGAGAAATATTCATGTATGGTTGCCTCTCATGCATCCCCCGCTGGGAACTGGCCTGCAACCCAGGCGTGTGCCCTGACTGGGAATCAACCACCATCCTTTGGTTCAGGGGCCTGCGCTCAATCCACTGAGCTACACCAGCCAAGGGCCGCCTCCATATTTTTAAATAATGGTCTTAAACTTATCTTGATTTGTTGAAAATTTGGACATTACATACTGACTTTCCATTGTAGTAGATAAGAATTAATTCTGTCAGACACATGGGTAAACAGAGGCAAGCTGCCCACATTTTACTCAGATTTCCCTCACTGTGACCTCTGTTCCAGCGTCCCATCCAAGTGTACCACATGGCACTGAGTCATCTTGTCTGCTTAGGCTCCCCTTGGCTGTGACAGTTTGTCAGACTCAACTTGTTTTTAGTGAGCATGACAGTTTTGAGGAATCTTTTTGTTGACTCCTTCTACCCAGTTGTTTGCCTTTTTTAAAAAAGATTTTATTTATTTATTTTTTGAGAGAAGGGAAGGGAAGGAGAAAGAAAGGGAAAGAAATATCAGTGTGTGGTTGCCTCTCACGTGCCCCCTACTGGGGACCTGGCCTGCAACCCGGGCATGTGCCCTGACTGGGAATCAAACCAGCAACCCCTTGGTTTGCAGTCTTCACTCTATCCACTGAGCTACACCAGCCAGGGCTGCTTTTTATTTTTTTAATCAGAACTGATAAGGCTTTAAGAAGGTAGCAAAGCATTGCTCTCTTTTGATATCCTGACGCTGTGAAGTGTATCGAGAGGGAGGGGCTGTAGCCTGAGTTTGGGCTGATCCCACTTTTCTTTACGTCCCCCAGCACCCAGGGTGGGGCTTAGCAGTAGTAGCCACTGGTAAATGTATGTGTGGACTAGATACTGACTATTCAGAGAAAGTAGAGATGTTCATTGTACCTCTGAAATATCTGCAATAGGACAGTATTTATGCCTCTGTGCCACATTTTTGCTCTCTTCGTTTTGATTGTATAAACCATTTTCTCCACTCCATCACGACATAAAATCGAACCTAGGTCTGTATGACTTCACACACAAGCGCGTCCCCAAGAGGATGGGCCATACTACGCATGCAACGTGTATTTCCTTTTTGTTGCACACACATTTACTTGGCCGTCATTCTTAAAATCTTCGTTCTTGTCTGATGCAGGGCTCGAAGCTGGATCTCCCCCTGTGGTTGGCCAAAGGGCTTTTCGACCACAAGCGGCGGATCCTCTCCGTGGAGCTTCCCAGGATCTACCAGGAGGGGTGGAGGACCGTGTTCAGCGCAGACGCCAACGTGGTGGACCTGCACAAGATGGGGCCCCACTTCTATGGCTTTGGCTCCCAGCTGCTGCATTTCCATGGCCCGGAGAACGCGGACATCTCCCAGTCTCTCCTGCAGGCAGGTTCGGGGGATGTGAAAACTGGCACTGCCCATGGGTCCGGGCCGGCTGTGGCTGCCACCAGACGTCACTGTGACCCAGGGAAGTTTAGAACATACACAATTAATGTATTATTTATGATTCCAGGGCAGCCGACAGTTAGATTCTATTTGCCAATTATATATATACTTAAATAGGACTTCTCTGCTGCTTTTTACGTTTGCTTGCTAAGAGTTTGGACCAGGAGAAAATCCTGGAAATGTGAGAGATGATGGTTGATGGCAAGTGTCAGGCGCTTAAATACACAGTCGGGGCTGAGCCCCGGGCCTGGTCCTAGGGGTTCTCTTGGAAATACCTGCCGTATTTGGTCATTGTGCCCTTCCCTTGCTCTGGGGCTAGGACTGGCTCTGCCGTGTCCTGGCTGTGTGACTTGGCCAAGCTACTTGACCTCTCTAGGCATCAATTCTTCACCTGTAAAAGGGCATAATAATAGTGCCACAATTAGAGAGTCCCAGCGTGATCAGGTAGAACCATGTAATAAATGGTGACTTTTTTTTTTAAGAGTTTATTTATTTACTTATTTTTAGAGAGGGGAAGGGAGGGGGAGAGAGAGAGAGAGAAACATCAATGTGTGGCCGCCTCCCACATGGTCCCCACTGGGGACCTGGCCTGCAACCCAGGCATGTGCCCCGACTGGGAATCGAACCCTCGGTTCCTTGGTTTGCAGCCCTCTTTCAATCCACTGAGTTATGCCAGCCAGGGCAAATGGTGACTTTTTACAGTTACTTGTTACTGTTACTATCCTTTATGCTATAACCTTACTTTAACTTTTGGAGTTATTTTTTATCCTGTTAAAACTAGAAGAAGCCATCCTTTCTGCCTTCTGTTTTACTTCCTCATCAGTAGCTTTATCTAAACTGTTAGCTCAAAACACTGGAGCTCCCTGGGCTGTGCCGACACCCTCCATCAGGCTTAAAGGTTGCCTGGCCTAACACACCAGTGCTGTTTTTAACGTGGTAGCTACATAGGAAATTGCTGCCATCCACTCAGAGAAAGAAGTCAACACACGGACTGTAGACAGTTCAAGCTTATGAATCCCTTCTGAGCAGGAATCGTTCGCCTTCCAATGTCACCAGGACACGTCCTTGAACTAGAACACGGCCCTTTCCAGGGGAGTTAGTGTTGTCTTTGTCCCTCACTGCTTTGAGTGCTGGGGACAGGAGTTGCTCACGTGCGGGGTGAGTTTGCCATGAGATGGTTGCCGAACTGAGGCGGGGGCTTGTGGCTTGGGCTCAGGGCCCTGAACTGACCCCCGTAGATTATGGGTCTTCCTCCTGCTCTCAGACTGAAAACAGCGGAAACTGCATTCAGTTCAATCGGGAGTTTTCTAGTTGAAACCTGTCTGCAAGGGACTGCAGTGTAGTTTGATGGCCTTTGTTGCTAATTACAGAAATGGGTAACGCTGTCAGAGGAGCTTGCTCTTGCCAGCTAGGTGCTCTGCTCACGTTACTTCGTTGGGTTTCCACAATGACCCATTTCACAGGCAAGGAACTAGAGGCTTGGTGGTGTGGAAGAGCTTACTCAGGCCTCCTTCTGCCTGCGTCCCGAGACCAGATTCTTCCCTTTCGTGCTGTTCAGATGTTTGGGGATAATAGCGAATCTGATTTCTCCTACTCCCCTCTTCTTTAGACATTCATTGGACGCTTCCGCCGCATCATGGACTCCTCCCAGAATGCTTACAACGAAGACACTTCGGCGCTGGTAGCCAAGCTGGACGAGATGGAGAGGGGCTTGTTTCAAACGGGGCAGAGAGGACTGAATGACTTCCAGTGCTGGGAGAAGGGGCAGGCTTCCCAGATCACAGCCTCCAGCCTCGTTCAGAACTACAAGAAGAGGAAGTTCCCTGACCTGGAGAACTGAGGGCCGGCAGAGCACAGAATTGCTCCCTGTAGACGCCTCCCTGTGTGTCCCTGTTAAGAGCCTGGTGGACCGTGTAACGGGCCGGAGTCATACCTCCTCTCATGGCTTATGTCCTGCAGCCGTCGTGGCAGTGGTATCGTCTGCTTGGGAGGGTGCCCCCTGGCCCTATAAGTCTTCCAGAACTTTCCCACCTTCCTGACCCACAGCCCAGGTCTGCTTCACCCAAGAAGCCACAAGGCAGAGACATCAATCTTTTTTATAAATAAAGATGGTTAATACATACATTGCAGTAGAAGTGGAACTCCTTGGGCTGGGTTTGGACAGCCTTAGATGTCCAGCGTCACCAGCTCCGAAGGACAGATGAGGCCATCTTAGTCTGTTCACGAGATCATCTCTTGAGCTGAGTTGCCTTGTCTTCCTGGTTGCACAGAGGATGGTGCCCCAACGATGCTGGTCTTGTCAATATCTCCTGCCACCTGCCTGTGGGTGGGGAGTTACCCCAACTTCCACAGTCACAAGAATAAGGAAGGGAAAGGCAGCCGAACATCATGGCTTTTACTAAAAAGGAGGCGCTGTCTTCCTCCTCTGTACTCTGGGAGTCACAGAACTTTGCAATCCGCGTTGAGGGGAAATGCTTTTGATCGTTACAGCTCCCTCAGCTCTCCATTCCCTCCCCAGAAAAAGCTGTCAGGCAGGCGGATTGCAAAGTAGTTATTAAAGGGCGTTAACCAGCTCTTATTCCCTCAAAATCGGGACTTTAGTTTGCTGGTTATAAAGAGCCGTGTTGTTTGTTTTTCTTTTAATTGTTTTTGAAGATAGGAGGGAGGGAGAAAGAGGGAACAAAACATCAATGTGTGAGAGATACATCTACCTCTTACCTCTCACGCACCCCCTACTGGGGCCCTCACCTGCCACCCAGGCATGTGCCCGAGGCCTTGGTTATGTTTTTTCCCTTCAGTCTGTTTTGCGACATATTTACGTAGAGGATCCCTGACCATTTGCTGAGAATGTGTTCAAATAAGCGCAAAACTCTTTCCCCAGACACCCAGGAGGAAGCCTCCAGCTGAGTAGAGACTGCATTCCCCAGGGCCACTGGACGGTCTGAAGGACAGTTGTCTTTACACCACTGCACTGGGGGAAATTGCCTTTGTCACTGGAAACCAGAGAGGGACTTGGGTGTCCACACTGTCTGCATCTCAGCGACAACTGAGAACGTCAGAAAGGCTTTCAAACTGCCTAAGACGGAATCAACGTGCACTTGTGTCCATTTTGCACGAGGTTTCTGTAACTCGATGGCTGCAGGTGAGCAGGCAGAGGCATCAGAAAGCTTTGTGTTTGGTCGTCTTTGACAAACGTGCCCCCATCAATCCGTGTTTTAGTGACCGCTCTGCTGCTTGCACGATATTCATGAATAGGAGTGACACCCTCTGTGGGAACGAGCTGTGTCCCACAGACAAGGGACTTCCCTGGCGAGCACAGCACTGAGGTGGAGCGGGGACCTCCAGAGACGACTCGGAGTGAAAGCGCATGTTAGTTAATTACCGGGCTCCTTATTTTCACAGAGAGCTTTGTATTTAACCCAATCCTAGCACTGCTGGCATTTTCTTCTCTTACTAAAAACAAAAACAAAAACCCGCTCGGGCCACATACCAGATATAGGTGGATACACACAGGCTGCGTGCATTCCATTTTAAATTTTGAACAGATTATATGACAAGTAGCTTTTGAAACCCATTTCCAGTGACAGATTTACCTTCCAGTCCATCAGTTACCAGCACTTTCCCCCACAACTCTCTTCAAATCAGTCTTTTGGGTTGCTATTTGATCCCTTCAAAGAGGCGAATTCTTCGAAATGAGTCAACCAATTGCCTCAAATACTAAATCATTCTTAAAATTAAGGGGGGGAAATGTGTGTCTTTCCCCTTAAAAGCTCAGTGCCTGGGTAACTGGCCTTCGTTAGTAAAGGCCTCATGGTGTTCAGGTTTTTTCCTGGAGCCATTGGGCTGCGGAGGGGAGTTGAGCAAGTCTTCGTCTCCTGGGTCAGTTCCTCCTGACCTCTGACCTCTGGACCTCTGCGGGCTCAGTCCAGAGATGTCCTATAGCCGTTCTCCTTCCTTACTGGTCTGGTCCAAGGTTGGGCTTTGAATACCAACTGCTTGGTGATGACTCCAAATTCCGTCCCCAGCTGAGCCGTCTCTAACTCCAGACTCTCTAACCCCTGTTTGACATGTTCACTTCCACGTCCGACCCAACGTGGCTAAACCAAGCTCCTAATCTTGCCCTCACAGCGTGTCCTGTGGTCTTCCTCATGTCTGTCTTTGACAACTCCCTCCTTCCCTATTTCTCGGGACAAAACCCCGCGTGTCCTCCTCACCCTCCTGCCCTCACTGTCAGTATCTTGTGGGTCCGCCTCAAGGTCGTTTGCAGAACCTGACCCTGCCTTCTCCACACCCCACTCCTGTCCTGTGTGGTGCGGTCACCCCCCCCCCTCCTGCCGCCCCTCAGTCTCCCTCGGCCTGGCCTCAGACTTGTCTCAGCGTAGCGGCCAGAGTTGTCTCGTTCACAAATAAATCAGATCTTCATTTTCTGCTCAAAACCATCCCATCCCAGAAAAAGGCCGCTCCACTGTTCCGGCACCGTTTGTTGAAAAGTCTACCCACATGATTTGGTGTTGAATTTTCTTACTGTTTCTATAGCAGAAGTAATTTGTTTCTTATTTTAAATAAGCATTTCACCTTCTGCCTAAGAGATTTCTGAGCGTCTGACAGAGCTTCTCGTTGACCTCTCAGCGCCCCTGGACCTGAGAAGTATCTGCAGTACTGGGAAGTACAGAGTGACTCACTCAAGTTTACACAGAAATTCAAGTTCACTCAGTCTTGCTCTGGGTCTGTTTGTTCTCTTCTGTTCCATCATGCTTCCCGAACTCCCAAGGGAGCTTTTCATCCTTCTGCTTGGAACAGTTCCTTAAGTGAAAAGGCACTTTTACACTGGTCTTGGCCAAAGAAAATGACAGCAGAGGCCACGTGCATTTCTGAAAGTTGGGTATCTCTGTGTTAACTTGTTGAAGAAAATGTAGAACACACGCTTAACTCCAAGAACCCTAATTTCAACCACCCCTACCTAGTGGAGGTGAACCGAACATTTTAATATCGAATACACGTAGAAACAACTTTCGAAAGACAATTAAATGCCCTGAATCTAAAGACAAGTGTCCAAAACATAGAATTCTGTTGCTAACTCTTGATACTGCCATTCTGAACGAGCAAGAAATCTCCCATCCTTGGTGTGTAATAATTAAAACATACAGCGAGTCAAAGGCCAGTCTGAGAAAACATACAGTCACTCACTGAGAGCAGGGCATTAATGCAGGCGGATTACCCTGCTTTTGGAGCTCATTCTGTTCATTTTTCTAGGCCTCTGCATTTCCGCCTAGCTAATCGAAGGAGACACGGTGTAACCAGCACAGCTCATTTGCCGAGCAGCCCTCCTCTGGGTCACAAGCGTCTCCCTGTCGCCTGTGATGTGGTCTGAAGCAAGGTGCCCATGAGGCCACCTCCCAAAGGCGGAGGCCTCGGTCTGCCTGGTTTTCAGAGAGCCAAGTCAAGTCAACTAAAAGGGGTATCATTGCATTAAACTTTTTATTTGGAAGTAATTTTAGATCTCTAGAACAGTTGTAAAGATAGTAGAGTGTTCCCATGCCTTCTCTAATGTCTTAGTCATGGCCCAAGTGTCAAACACAGTCACTAAGACAATGGATTTATTCGTATGTCACCAGATTCTCTGCTAATGTCCTTTTTCTGTTTCAAATTCCAATAATCTGTTGCATTTAGGGGACAGTCATTTTTGAAAGCAAAATGGAGCAGCGGGCTCTTCCCTACATAAATTTCCGAAGTCTGGCGTATTGGAAAGGCTTCCTTGTGTGGGCGTGAGTGCTGGTAGGCCGTGCCCTGGGGCCAGCTGCTGGTAAACCAAGGAGGGAAAGATATTTGCTTTTCACTTGAAAATTAAGCCTTTCCCCCAGTACTTGCATCTGATGGAAAAAGGTCTCTTTGATTTGCCTCAAAAATTTCCAATATTCTCTCTCTCTCTGATAACAGTAACTTGATTTTCTCCTCTTTCCCATCTGGCACATGCCGGCTAATTCTGTGTCTAAATGAGCTTTAGACAAAGCAGGGCTTTACAGACGAAGTTATTAACAAGTGTCAGCGCAGCTCCCAAAATAGTGCCTGGGCGCTGCTAACGTTTCTGAAGAAGAGGCAGTAAAGGGCGCACAGAACCAGATAATCCTTGCAACCATCTCCCACCTCTGGTCAGTTAAAACAAAACACAAAAGGCTGGAGTCGTAGATCTTCATGGCATTCTCTGCTCGCCCGCATCACCCGTGAGAAGGAAGTGTATTTGACCCCCACGTGATTTGTGTGGCTCCCTCTTTGCAACTAAAATGGTTCCCCGAGGGCAGCATCTTTAGTTTTGATGAAGAAAAACAAACGACTAGCTAAGGAGCACAGATTCCAGCTCAACCAATGAGGCAGGTGAGAGAATGGTGTGACTCAGTGAAGGAAAAGGGTGGTGAGGATGCATTTTGATGTTCAAAGGCTGGAGACAGAAACCAGTTGAAAGCCAGTGTTGCTGCCAGAGGCACGAGAGGGGAGAAAGAACAACAGTTGTCCTCAAGAGCAGCCTTATCTTAACGGGAACTTGAGGGCTTGGCACTTGGCTATCGCTCTCTTAGGTTGAGGAGGAAAACATTTTCAAACCTTTTTAAAACATGCTGTCATTTTCTAATTTAGCACTTCATGCTCACTCACTTGCTGCTTTATCCATGATTCCAGATAAATATTAAGTAATGTGACTTTTCCCCTAATAACTGAGTGATGTCTGAAGCATTTTCTCAGGCCTTGAGCAACAAACATTCCAGAGGATGCTACTAGCTGAATTTCCAGGTTATTTCGAAGGTTTTTTGGAGGCGCGCACTGCAGAACATGATACACCCTGTTCATGTATGACCAGCAGTGAAAATCAAGTTTCCAGTTTTTAAAGCATTTTTAAAAGACATCAATAAAAATGGAAAACCTCACCCTGTATGGAAAGACAGCTACTTTCATAGATGAGTTAGATTTTAAAAGGCTTTTCTGCCCCTGCAGAGGAAACAGATCACAGGGAAAAAAATGGGCTTCGGGTCATTGTGTGTGTATCAGCCAAGAGAACAGCATGCCCCCGAGTTACAGGGAGATGAATGTCTCTCTTTGTTTAATTACGGCTCCAGCACACCGCCTCCTGGATGTCACCCACGCGACATAGCAAGACACCTTGGGGGACTCATGTTGCTGAGCAAATCTCTCAGGAGAGAAGTTACGTCTTCAAGCCCCAAAGATAGACCTTAACTCTGGGAGCCAAAGCAAGAGAGCTGATTCTGGGGGGACTGCTTGATGCTATTCTCGGTGGGACCCCTTTACTTAGGGATACCATTTCTGTTTCCTTCTAGAAATGGCACGGGAGGTCAACGCCTGCTTGTTGGCCCACTTTCTCCCTGCCTGACTTGGGTGAAGGTGCAGGAAGGTGCGGGCTGGTGAGTTTCCCCAGGCCAGCTGCAGTTCACCCGCCCAGCTGCCTCCTGTCCGGGGAGCATTTCGTGGGCCTCTCCCAGCCTCCAGCCTCCACCCTCCACTCTGGGTTGTGTGCCCAGAATTTGTTCTGGAGGGTCAGAGGCAGGGACACGCCTGCTCCTTCCAAATTCTTCCCAAATAAGCAGATGACAGAGTAACAGAGTTTCTTATCAGAGCTCCCCAGGCGAGTAGCTGGTCTGCAATAGCTTAGAGCTGAAAGGGCCCAGGTGTTTAGAGAACCTTTCTCATGTCGTGTTTATTACGTGTAAAAGAGTATATGCGACACATCTTTAAATTATGAAGTGTTAGAATAACATGAGCCCCTGTGAACTTCCATTCGTTTAAATTCTGTAACATCAGCAATGCTGTGTTCCTTCTGCTGTTCCCCAGCCCAGATTTTGTGCAGATTTTGTGTTTATTATCCCCTTGCTCTATACAGCTAATTATTTTGATTTGCTTTTGTATTTCTTATTATTTGTTTTTAGAGAGAAGGAAAGGGAGGGAGAAAGGGGGAGAGAAACATCAATGTGTGGCTGCCTCTTGTGCTCCCCCTACTGGGGAACCTGGTCTGCAACCCAGGCCTGTGCCCTGACTGGGAATCAAACCAGCAACTCTTTGGTTTGCAGGCTGCCACTCAACCCACTGACCACGCCAGCCAGGGCTGCTTTTGTATTTCTTTTACTGCGTTTTATGTCTCGACTTTCAGCAATGTTAGTCCAGTTCATTTTAACTGCTGAAGGATGCTCTGAGGTGGGCACAAGGCACACTTTCTGTAGGCTTTCTCTTACCCCTGGACATTTGGGTAGTTTCCAGTCTGTTTTTACCATTACACAGGGTGAGGCCCGAGGAGGTTTGCAGCTGTATGTGAAACACAGAGTTTATTCTTGCGTTGTTACGTATTCATTATCATATTGCTTTTCATATGAACGACTGTGAACCAAGTTTTGCTCCACCCTGTAAAAGGTCACTGCTCTGGGCATATCCTCCTACGAACCTGAATCACCGAAGAGTCTCTACAAGTGAAATTGCTGGCTTGTGTGCACTCAGGTTCACAAGACTGTGCCAACTTACTCTCCTTACACCTACGGGTAAGCATCCCCGTTAGAGATTTCTTACTTTTTGCCCATTCAATGGGTATAAAGTGAGACCTTCTTATGATGCTGCTTTGTACTTTCCTTGATACTCATGAGGTTGTTTTTTATTTTTTTAAATATTCTTTTAATTTTTATTTATTTATTTTAAATATTTTATTTATTTATCTTTAGAGGGGAAGGGAAGGAGAGAGGAAGAGAACTATCAATGTATGGTTGCCTCCTCTGTGTCCCCTGCTGGGAACTGGCCTGCAACCCAGGCAGGTGCCCTGACTGGGAATCGAACTGTGATCTCCTGGTTCACAGGCCTGTGCTCAATCCACTGAGCTACACCAGCCAGGGCTATTTATTTATTTTTAGAGAGAGGGGAAGGGAGGAAGAAAGAGAGGGAGAGAAACATCAGTCAGTTGCTTCTTGCCCACACCTCAACCAGGGACTGAACCAGCTCCCGGACACGTGCACTGACCGGGAGTCAAACTGGCAACCTTCTCCTTTGTGGGATGGTGATGCCCAACTGAGTTGCACTGGTCAGGGCTTGATTATTCTTTCATATGTTCATTGGCCACTCATGCTTCCCCTTCTGTGAAATACCCTTTTATGTGTCTTGCCCATTTTTCTACAGGTCCTTTGTCTTTTTCATACTGATCTATAAAAACATCCTGGATACTAATCCTCTGTCAGTTATCTGTGTTGCAAAAAAAGCGCCCAGTCTCTGGCTTGTCTTTTAATGTTCTTTGTAGTCGCTTTTGGTGACTAGAAAGCACCTTAGCCTACCTTTTCTTTTTTAATAGAAGAGAAGAGAAGCACAAAGAGATGACAGGAATGTGTTACTACCAGAGGGTGAGTTGGACCCTGACCTAAGAGCATACACAAAAACTAATGCAAAGTAGATTAAAACCCCATCAGAAGATGTTTAAAAAATACTTCTAGGAAAAAAACACAGAGGAAAAGCCTCATGACGTCGGATTTGGTAATGATTTCTTAGGTATGACATTGGAAGCAAAGGCAACAAAAGCAAAACTAGACAAAGGGGACCTTGTCAAACAAAGTCACCGCACATCAAATGGAACTACAGAGTGGAAAAGCCCGTTGCAGGATGGGAGAAAAGACCTGCAGACCGTGTCTCCCGCAGGGGGTCAGAATTCAGAATGTATAAAGAACTCCTACAGCTCAACGCCAAAAATAGTCAGAATAACCCCATTCTTAAAATAGGCAAAGGACTGCACAGACATTTCTCCGAAGGTGACATGCAAGTGTCCAACCAGCAAATGAAGATGCTCAGGACGACTAATCCGGGAAATGGAAGTCGAAACCACAGTGAGACATCCCCTCACCCCGATCTGGATGGCCATCATTAAGGACACAAAGCAAGGGCTGGCGAGGACGTGGAGAATCGGGACCCCCTCGTGCACCATTGGTGGGCATGGAAAATGGCACAGCTGCATGGAAAACAGCAGGACGTTTCCTCACGAAATTAAAAATGAAGTGACCATCTGGATCCAGCAATTCCACTTCTGGTCTGCATCCAAAAGAATCAAAAGCAGGAGTTCAACGAGGAGTTCGGTCCACACACCCACATTTACAGCAGCGTTACGCACAGAAGCCAAGGGGCGGGAGCAACCCGAGGGTCCGTCAGCGGATGGGTGGATAAAGAAGATGCGGCCTACACAGGCAGCGGAATATTATTCAACCGTAAAGACAAAGGAAATTCTGACACCTGCTACATGGATGAACCATGGACATGATTGATGGTCAGGGAAATAAGCCGGCCACAAAAAGGCAAATACTGCCTGATTCCACTCCTGTGAGGGGGCCAGAGCAGTCAGACTCGGAAGCGGAGAGTAGAATGGTGGTTTCCAGGGGCTCGGGGGAGGAGGAGTGGGGCACTGTTGTTCGAAGGTATAGAGTTCAAGTTGTGCACGAGATTTATCGCACACCTGGTGTCCCACACACTGGATGGTACATTTTATGTTATGTATTTTTACTACAATGAAGAATATTATTTAATGATTTTTTAGAGAGAGGGGAAGGGAGAAAGAAAGAGGGGGAGTGAAACATCAATGGGTGGTTGCCTCTAGTGCACCCCCTACTGGGGGCATGACCTGCAACCCAGTCATGTGCCGTGATGGGATTTGAACCCGTGATGCTGTGGTTTGCAGGCCTGTGTTCCATTCACTGAGCTACACCAGCCAGGGCCAATGAAGAATATCTTTAAACATTGTTAAGTGTTATAACTAGCCACAGCTGTCGTTCATTGAGCGCTTACTCTGGACCAAGCCCTGTGGTACCACCTTTATAACATTACCTCGTTTATTTACTATTCACAACACCCCTCAGAGATGCGTTGCTGTTTTCCCTCTCTTACCTGCGAAAGGGACGGGCTCAGTGAGGCTGAGTAACTGCTCCAGGTCACAGCAACAAGTGCTGAGGCCGAGGCTGGAACCCAGGGCCGACTGACTCTGCACATTCGCCTCTTAGCGGCTCTGCTCTAGTGACCAGTGAGTGGCGGAGCCAGGTCAGGAGCCGGGCACCCTCCTTCCTCCACACCGCCAGGTGTCCCTTCCTCCGGTTCTGGTCCTTCCAACGCAGTTTCCACGGGCAGCTCCACACCGCCGCCCCCGAGCATCTCCTGTGGGAAAAGTGGCCTGACCTTTGCCTATGTCACATGACCATTATCTGCAATAAAAATAGGACTCCTTCTGTTTCAAACCAACGTCCACGTCATTGACAATTCATGCTCATTCCCGAGATTGCAAGTTGCTATTTTTGAAAAGTTATTTCGCATGGCCTCTCGCCCCAGGAGCCCTTGGCCCTTTTAATCTGGGCGTCTCAATCCGAGGAACACAGTGCAGCCCTGTGGGTTTGATTAGATGTGTCCAAACTACAATGTTGGCTGTTCCAAAAACTCCCCTCGCCTCCCTCCACCCCTGCCCCACCCCTTGCTCAGAACGAAGTGCCAGATGGCTGCCGGTTGGCCTGATGGAAGGGAGGTTTGCGGAAGAAGAGCCCACAGGACACGGTTGGCTGGTGTCCAGCCTCTTCCTACGCAGATTTCACTGAGAGCAGACACTAATCCCATCCTTTTACGTCTCCAGTGACGGCCTAGAGTGCGCCAGTGCTGGGCGCGGGGTCCACAGTGAGGAGCGGAAGGGTCCCTCCTCCCTGCCCCTGTGGAGTTGGCACCCTCAAGGGGCATTAGACCTGGGTGCACCAAGCCCTGTGATGGGAAGTAAAGGGCATGTGAAGGGGAACGACTGGGGGCAGCTCCTTTGAACCAACCGAGTGTTTATGGAAGGCCTGTCTGAATTATGACGCAGCAAGCGTTGCCCCCGTCAGTCTTTGGCTAGAAGGGGAGCAAAGAGAACTAGATGGTTTAATAACACGGGAAACACAAGCCTGCTTGCTAGCCAGGAATCTACAGCTTCACACCCCCGGGGGGCCACAGCATTGCTCCGCCGCCGAGGGGGTTAACACCACTCCCTTGCCCCCTCTGGTGCTGAATTGTTTGGGGCGGAAGGGGAGGCGCTGGACCATAGGAGCCTCAGAAAGTTGGGGAACTTGATTGGTCATTTTGAGAAAATACCTGGTCCATCTCACACCCAAGCTCCTAGTTATCATCCCTGGGCGAGCTCTCTCTCTCTCTCTCTCTCACACACACACACACACACACACACAGAGAACGATGCACTCACCCAGGGGCTCCACAAGGACTAAACTCTCTTGCTTGTGACCCCCACTCGCACGGTGCACACACCTGTTCTCTCCATGGCCCCCGGGAGGGAGCAATGGACGGCAGCTGGAAATGCACGCGGAGCTGGCCGGAAGCTGGGCTGGACCGCACGCTAATATGCAGCAGAAAGCCTGGGCAGTGGCCTTGACCCAGGCCCTGCTGAAGACGAGATTGGACTTTTCCCGCAGCAAGCTGGGCGGTTCCAGAACGTGCCCTGGTGTTCAAAAGCAGAGTCGTGTGTTGGGGGCACAGCGAGCCAGCAGGCGCGTCCCCCAGGCCTGGAACGAGGACAGGCAGGGCCCGCTCACATGAACTTCGAGGTGCAAAGGTAGACACACGAAGGCCTCTCTCCAGCTCAGTGCAGTGAAACCTCACACTTGGTCTCCGTGTGCCCTGGGGTGGTGCTTAAATTTTTAGGAGGTGTGAAAGGAATTACTATCTCTGCAGCAGGTTGGAAGCCTTTAAACTAGTGTGGAGTTAGAAAAACCAGGCAAAAATAATGAAATTATGTGATCTTCAACTTCCCTGATGCAGGGGGGTGGGGAATGTTACCAAATTATCTGCTGAGAAAACCCGCCTTAGGCTGAGAACAAGCCCGAGACTCCCGCCCCAGGGGGCCCCTTTGAAAAGAAAGTTCCCTGCAAACCGATGAACAGCTGTTCACGGCAAAAAAAAAGCCTGACTCCTCCACAGCTCCCAGCCTGACATGCTAATTGCTCTCACAGAAACAAGTTAATGGGGTTTTAATAAAAATAGAACCCAAATAGGCGTTGAGTCCCCTATTTTTTGCAAACAGAGGCGCTGCCACTTGCAGTTTCCTCAGGTGTCAGGGCTGGTCCCTGACGCCGCGGGGCCCAGCTGAGAGTTATATAAGGGCAGTGAGCTCATCGCCCTTGCAAAGACTACACAGAGCAGTCGAACACCGTTACCCAGGGCCTGTTCTATCGCAGACCCGGGGAGAAAACAGGTCAAACCATGTCCTCCAAGTCGCTGCAGGCAGTAGGAGCTCAGGGGTGGGGAACTCCTGTGGGGTTTGCTGTCCACGCCACTGTAACCAGGGCAGTTCGTGGGCTGCTCCTCAAGCCAGTTCAAATCTTCAGAAAGTAAACCAGGGGTTGGTGTTTTAATTCATTCATGGTTTTAAGGAGGATGGTATAGTAAGGAAGGGCCCGGGCCCTGTGCTGAGGCCCAGCTTGAATCCCAGCTTTGCCATTTCAGAGGTGCCTGCCTTGGGACATTGGGACAGGTGGCTCACCTCTGGGCCTCACCTTCCTGATCTGTAAGATGGGGTCATGATCGTGGTTGGGTTAACCCTTGCAGGGTTGAGAGAAGCAGGGAACAGGTTGTATATAAAGTGCTCAGAGTAGCGCCCAGTACAAGGTAAGCCCCCGAATACTGCTGGCTGGTGGGAAAGATGGGGAGTAAACCAGTAGAAATGAAGATTTCAGCATAGAATGGTGAGGAAGATGCACAGGCTGATGTGGTGTGGGGGTGACAGGGGTGGGGTGCTTCAGACAGACCCCTCGAGAAGCCTAAGGAGCAGCCAGGCACATAGGCGGGGGGTGCAGGAAATGCAAGGTCCCTGGCGTGGCAGACAGAGAGGCCGGTGAGGCCAGAGCACAGAAATGGACCAAGGGAAGGAAGCGAGAGGTGGGGGCGTTGGGTTGGCCAAAAAGTCTGTTTTGTGTTTTCCATAAAATAAAAGACACATTTTCATTTTCATGAATTACTTTCTTGATTTGGATATTTTGAGTGTGTCGGCTATCTCTGCCTATTGGCTTCCAGCGGGTAGAGGCCAGGGTGCTGCTAAACATCTCCCAAGGTGTCAGACAGCCCCACGGCAAAGAGTTATTTGGCCAAAATGTCAATAGTACCAAGAAACTTTGCAAAGCACTTTTGACATGTTTGATCAATGACAGGACCTTCTCCATACACTGCACAAATCTTTTTTTGTGTGTTTCAGTTATGTTTTTACCTTCCTTGAAATAATAAAGCACAGTACACCAAAAATGTTAGCTATTTTCTTCCATCTTCAAAATTAAAATGGCTGCAGAAATTTCACCAATTTTGATAATTTTTAAAAATGCATGCTGATATGACAGCTGTCACAAAATCTACAAAAATTGTTTTGAATGACACTAAAGATGACTAAGCATTCATATGGAAAAAATCAAACGAACTTTTTGGCCAACCCAGTAGAGGTGGCCAACGACCAGGTCATATGAAGGCTTAGAGATCAGGGCAAGGACATCAGCGAGACGGGGACACAGGGAGGTGACACCACCCGAGTCACCTTTCCAAAGGCCGGAGGCCGGAGACATGGCCTTGAAAGACCAGTTAGGAAGCTGCTGTGATAATGGCGGTGACAGCTGAAGGTGCCCAGACAGGGGTAGGGGGGTGGGGCAGGTGGCAGTGGGGCTGCAAGAAAGTGAAGGGAGCCAAGAGGATGTGGTGAGGACCATGTGGGAAGTGAGAGCGTGTGAGGGTCCAGGCGCCGCACGCAGGCTGTGGCTTCAACATTGCCCTGGACAAGTCCCAGGGAGAACCAGGTTCAGGCCAACTCAACATAACCACCGGGCTGTGGCCCTCAGTCCTCCTCCTGGGCACGCGCACGTTCCCTCCCGGGCATGCGCACGTTCCCTCCCGGGCACGAGCATGTTCCCACCTGGATGTGCAGTTGCCCACTTGACTTTTGTCAGTGTCCACACTGCTGCAAGGTCCTCACCGTGATGAATCCATTATTGTTCTTGGGGCATAAAAGCATCCTGGAGGCTGTGTCACCTACGCCCCTCTCTGGTGACCGAGCTGATTCCAGTCCTGACTGTCACCAAGATCCATGGCCCTTCCTGAGAGGTCCTGTCGGCTTGCACATGGAGCCCTTGAGCAGCTGACTAGCAGACGAGGGCATTTGGGATTTTGGAAGCTTTTGAAAAACTCTTTCCTATTTTTCACTATGCACTTTTTAACTGATTGCATATGTGACACGTGTTCGTGTAGGCACGGACTTGTAAAAGCTTTAAATCATCCAGAACAGAACAGAGCGCCCCTGCACCCTCGCAGCCCACAGCCCAGCCCTGGCCCCAGTGCCTCCTGGGGGGGGGGGCCCACCGCGCAGGGGGCGTCCTCCCTGGCCCCTCTCAATGTACATACTCTCTCACGATGGCCTTTGTGTATCCGGGCCTTGTCACACACTCTGTTCTGTGCCCCCCTTTTTCTGTTTCACAGTGTGTGTTAGCCACCCACCTGCTTTGGTGTTTTTGTTGTTGTTTTTAACAGCGGCGTCATTTTCTGACATGGAGATGTCATAGTTTATGTGACCGCTCACCCTCCCCGAGGGTTTGAGCTGGAGACAATTCCCACAGTGCCACCACTACCCAGTTATCTCTCCAAAAGCTGCCTTCTTCCTTTAAAAAAAGTTTGTTTCATTGCACAAGTGGTTTACGTTCTTGCAAAAAATGTAAAGAATATAATAAACAAGACCAGAAAAGAAATAGTAAGAACACTTGTAATTCCATCACCCAGAAACACAGCTTTTCACATATAATCTACTTATTTAAATCCTGTAAAATGTAAAGTTTTTACAAAAATGTGGTCAAAATGTATACTCTTTTGAAACACCTGTTTTTTGCAGATCTTTTGTGACTCTATGTCACAAAGATCTTTCCAAGTCATAAAAGATTCTTCCATGTGAGGAATCTTTGGCCCTGGCTGGTGTGACTCAGTGGATTGAGCATGGCCTGTCAACCATAAGGGTTGAGGTTCAATTCCCAGTCAGGGCACATACCTGGGTTGCCGGCCAGGTCCCCACTAGGGGCCACATGAGAGGCAACCACACACTGATGTTTCTCTCCCTCTCTTTCTCCTTCCCTTCCCCTGTCTCTAAAAATAAATAAATAAATAAATAAATAAATAAAAATATTTTAAAAAAGAATCTTTATCATGAATTCTTCTAGCTTGTTATAAAGTGGCTTAAGGGCAAGAGCGGAAAGCTTGTGGAAGGAGGGAAGCTCCAAGAATCCTTTCTGAAAGACATCGGCAACCCACGAGAGGGGCACACTCACACAGACTTATTTAATGTAGAAGAATTCTTCTACTGCCCTAGTTCTTGGATGTCTTGGAGAATCTGATAAAGCCAGCTGCTCCTCAGTGATGTGCACGATCACACAATTTGTATACAATTCAGGGATACGTGGCCAGTCCCCTCCCTGCCCCCAAAATATTCCATCATTTTAAATTGGTGGTCAAGAATATGGGCCCCACGTCAGATCCTGGCCGTACTGCCTTTAGTCCCTACGCCCAGCTCCTTGCTTGTAAAACCCAGGCAGCAGGGGTGGGGGGTGGGGTTGTTTTGAGGGTTAAGGCATTTGTTAGGCATAAAATGTTTAGAACCGGGGCTGGCACGCGGTAAGTCCTAATTAAATGTCAGCTCTTATTATTCCCAGTGCGTTGCTTTTGTAACATTTCTAACTCTATCTTTGTACACATCTACAATTACTGCCCAGGGATAAACCCCTGGATGTGGAAGAGCCGGGTGGGATCATTAGCATGTTTATGAGATTGTGGATCCATAATGCGATAATTATTCCAGGACTAGGTTTACGGTGTCAGGCAAATGGAAATAAGTCCATGCCCTCGTGGGGTTTACCTTAGGGAGGAGGTAGACAGTCCACAAAATACAGAAGCGATCTATTTGGAAGGACCATGGAGAAAAAGAAAGCAGAGTGATGGGATGGGGGGTGTTGTTCTTAGGAGGGTGGTCCAGGAAGCTCCCTGAGAAGGTGACATTGGAGCAGAGACCCGAGAAAGGGAGGACACATGAGAACACCAGGTAGGGGGGTGTTGTAGGCAGAGAGCGTAACAAGTCCCAGGGGCCTGGGGCACAAACACGCCAGGGTGTGCGTGAGGGGGAACTGGGAGGAAAAGGGGACAGAGCGGTAAGGGGGTGGGAACGCATCACCTAAATCTGCGCTTCTGGAGCAGTTTGAATTTTGTCCAACCACAGGTCCAGGAAAGGGGAAGCAGGTGTTCAAGGAGAAAATCAGAATGAACTGAAGTGATGTTTTCCTGTGTCCCTCTGTGCCTAACAGCACTAAAGGGAATGAGCACTCCCGCTGTGCCCTTGAGAGGGACCCAAGGAGCCTTGTTCTCTGGGTAAAACCTGTGGACTGTTTCAGATTCTGAGGTCCGGTCCCGTTTTCCTGGAACAGTACAAACCCAGAGCACAATGCTCGTTTTGGTTGGTGCCCAGGCCGTGTTCCCGGACAGCCTGTCTGCCAAGCCTGCAATTTTGAGACAGTATTTATCAGGGGAACTTAGTTCCCAGGGTCAAGATGACAGTGTCTAGGATCGAGGGTCCCTGGGCCCGTTGGCCACAAAGCATCAGCCCCAGAGACACGCGCAGAGGGCGGAAAGGCCAGCTCAGGGGTAGCAGCTCAGGGTGAAGAAGTATCCAACCACAGGATCACCTGGGGAGAGAAGCGCCCTGGCATTTCCACCCACTTCCTCAAACCAAGGGACCTCTCAGATAAACCAGGAAGTTCGGGGACTTGGGCAGGACCAGACTCTGAGTTACAAATGAGGGGAGACACACCTTGGTGTGGAACCGAGGCTGGTGGGTGTGGCTGCTGTCAGATGGGGTCAAGGAGAACCCTGGCCCCCCACTCGCCCGCTTCTCCTGCCCGGGCTTCACTCACCTTTGCCAGCTCACCCATCTGTGACTCAGCTAGTCGACGGTATGTCCCTGCCCACCTGCCACGTGCAGGCGCAGGGCTGGGTGCCACCGGAGAGGACAGGGAGATCTGTATCTGCAGCACCTGCCAGTGGGGTTGGGGGGGCGCTCTGCTCCACGAGAGGCGTGGCTAAGTGCCCCCCAAGCCCTGGCTTCTCCACACTGACAGGAGTCTGCTGGCTCTGTCTTTTCCTCCCGGTTTCCTTTCCTTTTACCTTTTCCCCCTCCTTTCTGTTTTGTGGATGGTGTGGTTTTGCCGTTAGGGAATGGGACTGGGTAGATCGCTTGTGCTGATAACCGTACCTGGGTTCACTTTTCAGCAGAAACCAGAAACACTTGTTGACAAAGATAAGACCAGATGAAAACACCCACGAGAAAAGTCTTCACCTCTTTCACTGGGTGCTCGTCCTCTCCTGAGATCCTCATTCAGTGTTTGCTTTGCACAAAAAACTTCATGTTTCTGTGTATAGATTTTCCATGGAAAGGGGCTGCACACCTCCTGCTTAATTCACCTCTGCATTCCCCGCTCCTGGTTCATGAGAGGCGTGAGAATATTTGTGGATAAAATCAATTGTGAATTTCTGAAATGTGTGTCTCTCGTTCACACCGCCACGGACATCCTTTCGTGGCCTCTGTCTCCTGCTCGGTGCGGCTGCACAGCACTCGCCCAGAACTCCTGCCTGTTCCCATGTTTCTGGTACTTGAAGCCATTGCGCCTACACCCTCACACACACCTGTGACTACTTCTGCTGGCAACTGTGGGGACAGAACAGCAGCCTCCAGAAGATGCCACCTGCTCATCCTCGAACCTGTGACTCGGCTGCCACATGTGGCAAATGGACCTGCAGGTGTGATGAAGTCAAGGCTCTTGAGACGAGGCGTCTCCCGGGTTGCCAGGTGGGCCCAGTCTCATCATACTGCTCCTTACGAGAGGGAGGCAGGGTGACCTCAGGTACAGCAGGCGACAAGAAAGGGAAGCAGAGGGTGGCAGGGGTGTGCCCACCGAAGCGGAGGACGGGGCGATGCTGGAAGTGGCCACAGCCAGGGAATTCCAACAGCTTCTAGAAGCCAGAGAAGCCCGGAATCGGACTCTCCCCAGGAGCCAGCAGAAGGAACCCGGCCTTGCCGGCCCATCTGGATTTCCGAGATCCAGAGCTGTAAAATAATTTGTGGGTTTTTCGATGTTTCTTTTTATCGTGCTAAAATACATACAACATACCAATTACTGTCTTAATACTATTTACACGTAGAGTTCAAGGGCGTTAGCGACATTCCTAATGGGGTGCACCCATCACCTCCATCCATCCCCTTAACTCTTCATCTTGGAAGACTGATCCTCAGTACGGTTAAATGGCAACTCCCCCTCCCCCTTTCCTCTCCCCCCTGACACGTAGCCTGGTTGTAAAGCGGAGGTGAAGGGCACTCAGCTGCTGCCTAGATGCCGACCAGCCCGGCCCGTCCAGCCCCTGGCTGATCCCCTGCAGGTGCCCTTCCTCCCCAGAGTCGGAGGCACTGAAACTCGTCTCCCCCTGGCCTAGACCAGGCAGGATTAGGTGCCCTGTCAAAACGTGTTTATCAGCATTTGCTGTCCCTCGGGCCCTGAGCTGGTGGCTTCGCCGGCCCTGTCTCACGGAGTCCTCCGAAGGACTCGGTGAGGTAAAGAGGAGGAAATGGATGCACAGAGAAGTTAAGCAACTTGAGCAACATCACACAGGGCGGGGCCCTGTGGGTCCTACTCCCACCCTTAACTCTGGACCTAAAGGCTTCCTCTCAGTGCCCGAGGTGAGGAGGAGGAAGACCATCCTTACCGGGTACACTCTAGGCTACAATACTCAGAAGAGGCCACTCAAGTCCCTCCCGTGTACGACATCCACACACGCCCTCCTGTCACGACACGCGCACGCCCACGCATGCCATCCACCCGTGTGCACGCACACCCTGGCCACTGGAGCCCGCGCTGCATGGAGCGGCGGGTAACTACTGGAACGCGGCCGCTGGTGTGGCTGCTGTGTTGGGGTGGGGAAGCGGGCGCAGGCCGCGGGGGGCGGCTGGCGTGGCAAAGAGGGGAGGGAACTGCTCACAAAGTGGTCCCCGTGGGTGGGGAGAGGGGACAGGCTGTGCCACACACCAGGAGACTGCTGGGATCCGAACAAGCTGCAAGGGGTAGGGGAGGGGACAGAAGGAAGGTGAAGGGGAAGAAGCTGACCTTGGTCCTCTCCAGGGGACACAGCAAGGTCACAGCTCTGGCAGGCAGCGTCTGGGCGCCTGCAGGAGGTAGGTAATGGGCCATAAATAATGCGTCAGGATAGGGAGAGGGTAGCTGGTGGGAGCCAGAGGCTGTTTGGTGAAGCCTCCAGGGCGGATAAAAAGGCTTTTTCAAAGGGAACCGGAGGAGATTCTGTTGTCCTCTGGGACGAGGGAGGAGAAAATGGGGTGTCTGTAGTTACCTGGAGAGCAAAAGGCTGGTTCTGCATGAGGGGGATCCTACACGTTCCAGGAGCAAGGGGGTGGCAACGCAGCCTGTGGGTGGAGCAGGTGGCCCAGGAGCAGGGGGCACACAATCCAGGGATGGCTGAAATTCCAGAGCCAGACTGAGGCCAGCACTCAGCCCCGCTCACTTCCTCGTTCCAGCCTCCTCCCCCTCTGCTCGGGCAGGCCCAGCCCGCTCCACCTCCATCAGGAGCTCTTGGCATGGGGCCGGGTGCACGGCACTCAGCTCCGTGCCTCCCCAGCTCAGCACCGGATCTGGCTGACCCGGTGTACGATGGTGGGTGGGTGGGTGGATGGATGGACAGATAGACGGATGGACAGATGGACAGACAGGTGGGTGGGTAGATGGTGTTCTCACCCAATCATTCCCTTTCCCATCTCCAGCAGGCTCTTCCCCCAGGCAGCCCTTCCTGGCCCCTGCAGGCCCCCACTGGAACCTCAATGGCATGGTTTAGCAGAGTCTGCCCAGTTCCCATGTCATGGGACTCAATGCTGGTTCCCTTCATCCAGGCACAAACCCTAAAGGCAAGGTCAATGTCCTGGTCAGCTCTGATTCTCTAGTGTACCCCCCAGCCCCGACAGGGCTCGTCACCGAAGAGGCACTCAACCCACTTTATAAAGGAAGAGAAATGATCCACTTTTGCTCCAGGGGACTATGAGACTCAGGATTAGAGAGAGGGACAGTGTTACTGGGGTTGGGAGGGACAGTCCCTGCCCCCCAACCCTGCTAGGGGAGGAAGTGTCCACGGCCCCAGGCTCAGCTGCTCTCCGACTCCACCTGTGAGGTATTTCTATTTGCTCTCAGTCATGGTCACGAGGGGACTGGAGAGGGATGGTGACTCAGCCCAATTCATCATCACAATGGAAAAACCCAGTCACCTGTCCTCCTGGCACTGGGACCAGAGCTCTCTGCATCTGGAAGGGAGCACACACCACACTTTCTTCAAGGTCCTTTTGTGTTTCACCTGCTCACAGAACAAAGACTGGAGTGTGAAGGAACATGGCTGGTTGACACTGGATTTGTGGTATGTCATGAATCTCAGCGACCAGAGATCTTGTGTTCCCTCTGTGCCAGGCTCCGCCTTGATGATCCATGTGCATCACCTCATAGTGGTTTCCCAACATGCCCATGGCACTGGTCACTCTTTAGCCACCAGCGTCTGACAAGCCCTTCCCGTGGGGCGGGGCCCCCCTCCCACTAGAGGAACTGAGAATCCCTTTGCCCGCCTCCCTTGCAGCTTTGGCAGAGTATGTGCTGTGGGCGCCTCCAATCAAACACACCATTTGTTTTAACTTAAATTTATTGGGGTAGCATTGGTTAATAACATTATATAAATTTCAGGTGTACAACTTTCTAATACGACATCTGTATACTCTATCGTGTGCCCACCACCTGAAGCCTAGTCTCTTTCCATCACCTTGTCTCCGACCCCCTTTACCATCTTCTTTCTCCCCACCCCACCTCCCCTGTGCTAACTACCACTCTGTTGCTGTATCCATGAGTTTGTTCATGTGTTGTTTTTTGTTTCATAGCCCACATATCAGTGAAATCACACAGTTCTTGTCCTTTTCTGTCTGCCTCATTTCTCTTAGCATAATCCTCTCCAGATCCATCCAAGTTGTCACAAATGCAGACATACCCACTCTTGACTGTGAGTTAGAAAATGGCAACATGAGGAAGCTGAGACCACAAGGAATCCCACCTTGGGCAAGGACACCACTTCCGGGGCAGCACCCCCAGGGGCCCCAGAGGCAGCCGTGGTCCCAGTGGCAGTGTGCTGTGCCCTTGCCCAGGGGTGCTGCCGGCTGCAGCATCTGTGCGCAGGGATGGCAGGAATGGTTTTGACACCAGACCTGCAGCATTGGCCATGACTCCCGAAGTCCTGAGAGTGCCCACCCTCCTAACAGAGCCCCTGCCTGCTTAACCTAGCCCGAGGTTAGGTGAGTGCCACAACCATCCAGGCTGCCATATTAGCCCGAGTTTCACACAAACAGGAAACAAGGGTTCGGAGCGGCCGTGTCTGCTCTCCAGGTGAGGAACAGGCTGACCCCTGACCCCTGGCCCATTTTACACCTGGGGGAAGGGACGCAGCCACACCGGCAGCATCTTGTCGTGTGTAATGTGCGCCCACGTTTTGGCCCAAACTTTCAGGAAAGAAATCTTTCGTTTTAATTTTTTAATTCAATTATTTATTTATGTATACGTAGATACTAGTTTTTTGTATTATAAAAAATTTTAGTGTTTATTTTTAACATATTATGGTACAAGAAATTTTATGTAACAAATAATCACAAAACACAAGGACCGACACAAGGTATTTCAGGTACTCCCCACGTATAATGTGCATCCTTAATTTTCCCTCAGAAATTTGGGTCAAAAGTGCCCATTATACACAACAAGATATGGTCATTAGGAGCAAGGCTATAGGATGAGTCCCAGCCAATGACGGGGCCCTGGGTCCTGATCTGCTGTCCTCTGTTAAAAACCCTGCATCCAGCTGGTCCCCAAACACCACGCCCCCTTCTCAGGGGTGATGAGCCTGGAGCAGGAGGGACTGAGAGCTCCGCCTCCGTCCTCCGGAAGGGGCGGGGCCCTTCTCCCTGCCCCTTTCTTCAGCACCTTTATTTGCTGCAGTGGGCCCTGGAAGGGGGGTTGTTCTTGCAACTGCATTTCTTCATCATCTGTTGTCTCCACTTCTAGGGTTCAAATCCGCAGCCTCACTAACCTGAATGGTGAGCTGGGGGTTCAGGAATTATCTGAGCCAGGGGGGTTGCCTCTAGTTCAAGGCCGTGGCCGACACCGTTCCACGCGTGGACAGAAGGGTGACAGTTTCCAAGCTCTTATATGGCGGCTTTATGAACCGCCCCCCGCCCCTGGGGGCCTGCACCCCTCTGACGAGCTCAGAACAGGCTAGGCCTCCGGGATCGTGTCACCAGGACACCAAGACTTCGCTGCGTTCAATGACTAGGTCTAGAACTATTGAAAAGGGTAGAACTCAGGACAGCCTGGAACCCTGTCTGATGCGATAACAGTTTCATGGTCAATAATAAAGGCTGCTGTTGGCTGAACAGGTCAACCCTCCGCCTGGCACTGTACTGAGCACTTTCTTTATGTTCTGTCATTTACTTCTCAGGGGAACCCTGTGAGGTCAGCATCATCCCACCTTCACCCAGTGTGACTTGGAGGCTCAGAGAGGCTAAGGAACCCACTGGACATCACACAGCCAGGAAGCTGTAGAATCAGCCCAAGTTCTTAAGGGCTGGCTCTGTCTGGGCAACTGGATCTTACCGGCTTCCTCAGCCAACACTGGTGATCCCATCAATTCGATGCCCCAGCAGCTTTCCTGGTCTTACCACAAAGCAGCCCAAGGGAAGGGGGTGGGGAGGCACTGCAGAATTCTCTGGACTTCCCGCCCTTCGGCCGCACCACGCCGCCCAGAGGAGCCGGCCCAACTAGGCCCAAAGGCTAGAGCCCTGGCCAGGAGGCGCAGATGGCTGGAGTGTTGCCCTGTTCTCCAGAAGGTTGTAGGTTTGATTCCCGGTCCAGAAACAAACCCAGGTTTTGGGTTGGAGGCCCAGTTCAAGGCCGTAAGGGAGGCCAGGGCAGCTGATTGATGCTTCTCTCTCTCCTTTCCTCTCTCTAAAATCAGTAGGAACAGATACGGACATATACCGGGGCGAGGGTTAAAAAAACAAAAACAAAGGCTGGAATCCGGGAGGGGCGGAGCCCCGCCTAAGGTGCCAGGAGGAGCCCAACTGGGCCCCAGGCCCCCTTCTCTTAAGCTGTTGCCCAAGTCAATTTTTCAGGTAGTCCGATTTCCATTCTCCCGACATCAGGGGCTGTATCCAGGGGCTTTAGCGCTCCCTCCTTTGGGGCAGCAGGTGGGAGCGACGCCACTGGGCCAGACCCGAGTGAGCCTGAGGAAGATGGGGTCTGCGGGGTCCCTTTCCCGTTCGGACAGTGGAAGCGAATTGAGGGGGTCGAGGACCGTGTCACACCGGGGCGGGGGCGGAGTGGCGAGAAGGGGTAGCTGGGGGCCCATAGCATCTGCCTGGAGATGGTCACTCCCGCGTGAGTTCCCCAAGGAAAGCCTAGCGCTCCAAAGACCAGAGCCCTGAGTGCCCGGTTCTTCCTGACCCCCCAGGGCTTTCCTGGAGCCGTTCCCCGGCAGCGGCGGGGTGGGGGAGGCGTGCCGCCTCCTCCGGGCTGGGGTTCCCCCTGGTCATCCAAACAAAACAAAGACCGAGGCGGAGGCCGCCCCATCCCCTGGGGACTCGATGCCACACGGCTGCAAGGGAATCGGAGGATGCGCGCCGGGCACCGTCCGCACCCTGCGGAGTCCGAGCCGCGGGGAGCCTTCCTCCCGGCGCCTGCGGGAGGTGAGCAGCGGGAGGGAGGGGTGGAGACCTACCCGGGCGTCTCCGCTACGATCCGGCGTTGCCCGCCTGCCCATCCACCCACCTGCCCTCCCCCGGTGGCTGCGGGTGGACCCTGAGCGCCCGGCCCGGCCTCCCGGGACCAGCCAACCCCGCGGGCCGAGCGCCCCACCCACCACGCCCACGCGGGCGCGCCTCGCGGTGCCCCGCCCCCGCCCGGCCTCCGCCCCCGGGAGCTGCGCGCGGCTGAGGGGCGCGGGCCTCCGCACCCGCGTGTTGGCGGCGGTGGCGAGACTCGGCTTCCCGCCTGCGCGTCTGTCTGGCCCACATCGCCCTCGGTGAGTTGGCGCCGCCCTTGTCCCTCTGTCATTGCGGCCGCGCCACCCCCCACCCCCTCCCCCAGAGCAGCCGCAGCGCACGGACCCCAGACCAGCGGAGCCCGGCGCCCTGCCCCGGGGGCCACCTTTCGCCGACGCGAGGGCGGCACCCTCTCCTCCCCCACCGCACCCCGGCCTTCCCAGACGGGCACCTCCAGGGCCACGACCCAGGCGACACTCCAGAGGCGACAGGAGGGAGCCCGCGGCCCCCGCCCCCACCCCGACACCCGGGTGGCGGGGCCTCTTTGTTCCCGCGGCGGGCGCACGGCCCCCTCCCGTCGCCTCCCGGCCGTCGCCGCACCCACCCCGCGCGCTCCCTCCGCCTCCCGGAGCTCACCCCGACCAGGTGGCGACGGCGGGC